TACTCGTTTGAAAGATTATAGAGTATTTATATAGAATAATTTATATTTTTGTTAACGATATTTTTAAAAAATATTTACAATACTTTTCAATTATATATTGAACTTGGTAAAAAAAATTATTGGGTCCGTCACTGGTTTGATGGTCCGTACTCCGTACCTCTCGGTTCCGTGAGTTGATGCTAGTCGGACGAAACGATATTTTTACCACCCTTACTATAAATCGGATTTTACCTGACCAAAATTCACAGTGCGAAAATCAAAAGTCAAAAACTGAGTCAACATCGTAAAGTTGGGTCAAGATTAGAAGTTGGGCTTAATTTTTGTGGCCCAATATTAGTAGTTTATCATCCCTTTTTTTGTCTACCTCCGTTTCCATTCTTCAATTTCAGGCGAAGAAAAACCACCGGCAAATTAAATTTCGCGGAGAAACATCGCCGGAGAATCAAGTTATGGTTGCGGTGGCTGGATCGCGACGGTGGAACGCGTTTATTCAAGCTTTAGTTCTGATATCACTATCGTTTTCCAGTATCTCCAGCGCTTACCGACCAGGAGATATTGTCCGGATGAGCAAGATGGGGCAGTATCACTCTGTTCGTACTTCTTCTTTAACATTTTAGCTGAGATTGATTGTTTTTTTGTTATTTGATGGAGATTAAGGATCTGATTGATTCTCTGGCAGTCGAGAACGACTTGGCATGATGTGATCGGAAAGCATTGTCCGATCTTCGCCGTTAATCGCGAGGTACTCTATGTGTAATAGGTTACGGCATTAATGGAGTATTTTGGTTCTCGTATTGTATTGGAAAATAGATTGAATCTTTGTCCTTCTTTGCAAATTTGTAGGTGTTGATCCCCATAGCGAAACCAATTGGCTACACCGGAGCTGATCCTTATAAGATGTGAGACTATATTGATTACATTTCGAATGAAAATGCTGTGTAGATCAAGTGTTTAGTGCACTGAATTGTGATTGCTGTGTCTTTAGTTTATCTGCCAAGTTCATCACTGGTTTTACCAGCTCTTAGATAAAACTTTTGAGCAATTTCTGTTGTTGCTACTGAATTAGGAAATGTTGAAGATACAGCGATGATTCGCCACTTCTTATCTGTTCTGATCAGAGTAGGAGTGGTTCTGTATGGTTCTTTAGTTGTATTTTGATGCAGATTGTGTTCTTCTGATGTCTTCTCTGCGCTGAACATATGGCTACATCTTTTCCTTGTTTGTACATTAGTCATATGCAAATTAAGAGTTATTTGGTGTGTGATGTGTGATTATGGATGATTTTACATGCAGAAAATTCCAAGTTGGAAGCGAGAAATTTCAAATTCACTGGCTTTTGGTGATAAACCGTAAGAGCTTAGAAGTTCCGATGATCGATGTAAATTTGGTATGTTTAGCATTGTGTTTTGAGTCATTTATAAGCTTTGACTGATTAGATAGTTTTCTACCCCGGAAATCTGGCAGATTTGTGTAATACCAGTTTTTGGATTCTTCTTTGTTGCTTGGTTTCTTGTTTGCACAGAGATACTCTGGAGGAGATCTGCTTGGAGTCACAGCTCAAGTTATCGATATGCCTCATAGCTGTACGCAATACTCCTTCTGTAGCTATATCGTGTCCAGATTTAGGTGTCTTTTTATTATTGTCTGTCTTCTGAGCGAATAAGCGAATTTTACCTGCACTACTAGTGACCTAACCAGATATGCCCGGTCGTACGCTCAAATCCAAAACCTCAAGAAAATGACATATTAGGTGGTAGCTTCTCACAGTTGCGAGAGCCCATGTCTTAGGCTAGTTAACCTGGCTTCAATTTTACACTGCTTTCTTCTTACATTATCTGGTGAAAGGTAATAGATTTTCATCTTATAGGGGACACTGGATGCTACTATATAGGATGTTGCTTTATAGTCCCATATTTTCTACTGTTAGCTTTATGGCTACACAGACTGATTCGATTCATCTGTCTGGTGTCATTACTGAATTGAACTTACATTTTCATGGTCATATGCTTCAATAGTTTCTTTTAGTACAAGTTGCCTGGACCATGGTTATGTTAATAACGGCTTTGATTATTTCTTATAAGGAATGAATCTCATACTGTATGTGCTCTGTATTTTGAATTTGCAATTCTGCTTCCGTGGCCATAGAGTAGCAGTCAATTACTTTAAATATTGGAAGACAACATCAGAGTTTATCTTAGTTGAGATTTTATCCATGAACAGATCTGGATACACACCCGGAGGTCCGCAAACAGTTCTGGGATCCTCAACACTGGCCAAAACATGTTCTTGTTAGATACACATGGTACATTTCTACTTCAGC